TTGTCTGAGGTCCAGCATCTTAAAAACCATGGCTTCATATATTTTTTATCTGATTTGAGGGTGGTTTAGGCAGGATTTTCTATCTGGTTCCTGTTACTTCACCTTGGCCAGAAGTCTTGGTATTGGGTTCTTAATTCCATTTTGCAATTGTGTAGAGCTAGCCAGCTGTTGACTCGCTCTGTGGCAATGTTGTTAAGCTCCTCTAATTTCTAATCTCCCTACGACCTCCACAACATTTGATGACTAGAGGTTAAACGAGTGTATTCTGCTATTATCTTAAAAATTTTTCCAAGCTGCTGCTACCCATTTTGCAAGTCTGATATTGACTGTTTTGATGTTAGCACCTGTTCAGGCAAAGAGCTATGGCAGGATTACCGCGTGGGTGAGAGAGAATATATGACACTACTGATTGTGAGGTGCATTCTGAATCCATCTCTGTTGAAACATGAAAAGTTGTTCCTCTTAGAATCAGTGAAATAGGGTATTTTGACATGATGAATTTCTAACTGGTTAGATATAAGATGAAGTCAAAGATGGATTCAAAGTTTTTGGTCTAGGCAAGTAGAAGGATGTAGTTCCCCAACTGAGATGGGGAGGGCACCTTGTTTGGCCTGTCCAGTATGTATCCTCCGTTGTGCAATTACAGATAAACTGGGGGCTCCCAGGGGAGGGGGTAATTGAAAGACTCAGATGCTCAGCTTTTTTTCTTTTTTTGGGGATATGTTTTAAGAGTAATAAAATGGGCATGAAGATTTAAAATATATCATTAGGCCAGGGTCAGTGCCTCATGTTTGTAATCCTCATGTTTTGGGAGGCTGAGGTAGGAGCGTTGCTTGTGGCCAGGAATTTGAGACCAGCCTGGGAAACGTAACAAGACCCTGTCTCTACAAACAATTTTAAAAATCAGCCAGTCATGATGGCACATGCCAATAGTCCTAGTTGCTTGAAGGCTGAGGCAGGAAGATTGCTTGAACCTAGGAATTCGAGGTTACAGTGAGCTATGATCATGCCATTGCACTCCAGTCTGGGCAACAGAGCAAGACCCTGTCTCTATAAAATACACACACACACACACACACACACACACGAGGTACTCAAAAAATGTATACACATTTTAAGTATGACATTCGCTGAAAAGATAGCATTAATCAAATGAATGCTAGCAACTCCATGTGACAGTCAGGACAAGGAAAATGGCAGAAATATGGTTGAGTGAACATCATACCACACATTGCTACCATAATTTAATTCAGCTTCAAAAAGTAACACACAGATAACATCTTTTAAAATGTGCATACATTTTTTTGGCACATGTGTGTGTGTATAATTAAAGCATCAAAATTGGTAGACTACTTTTATATTTAACCCATTGCATTAAAAACCACGACTCTTTCATTTAAAAATAAAATAAAATTACATATCAGTCCCATAGGCTTAGCGGGAAGAATCTTTAAAAACCATGAACTTATCAACAGATTTAAAAATAAGATAAACTCAGGTATCAGAATGGGGAATTCTGTCTCCACAAAATATTATCATTATCACTTCTTTCTGATGCAAGAGTGAATCACATAGAACATCCACATGTGACAAGATTCCAAAATGAATCTAAAAAGTGTGGAATATACATACAGACACAAACTTTGAAAGGTGATTTTTTAGGTACAAGCCCGAGGAACAATTTTCTTGAGCAAGGGTATTTGCAACCCACACATGTGAAATGGCAGAATTGATGATTCCCACGGAAAGCTTGGCCACTTGACTGAGAAAGGGGTTATCGGATCTCTGAAGCAGGTCATTTAGAATTGCTGATAAGTAATCTAGAAATATGTCCTGAAAACTGGCATCATGGTTCCAGCAACAAAGCCCAAACAGATCAAGGCCAATGTGCTTGATCACAGGAAAGTCTGCCTTTGTGGGAAAAAGCACCCAGAGGAACATGCAGCACAGTGGGAGAGGACATGGCCACCGTGCCAACCATGCCAACCACATTAATCACAGAGGAGGCGGATGTCACAACCAGATTGCGCTCACATTCTGGGATATCTCAAACACCACTCTGTGCACAACACTGTGGTAAATGCCAAGGAGAAGAATCCCTTGGCTTGCCCCAAATTGTTGAGAATTTATCAGCAGATGACACAATACATGTACAGCTTCTTTTAGTCAAATTAAGTAAAAGTATGTTCTTAAAGTATGTTCTGAGATCTATCCTCTGGTGTTAACAGGTGACACATAAGAAAAAATTTCAGGCAACCTTCTTTCAGATCCTTTCCTGCTATGGAGCTTTTCTGTCTTCTTAATAAATCCTACTTTCTAAAAAGAAAAGAAAAAGTTTCCCTGGCTAAACACATCAGGTATACACTAAATAAATAGAGTGAAATGGATTTCTTTGTATCCTATGAAACCAACGAATGTGCTTTGAAAATTTCCATCAGTGGGGTATAGTATGTGGCATCCCCCCCCCCCCCCCCCCCCCCCCTTATCTTAAGTCCTTTTTTTTTTTTTTTTCAAGCAGAGTCTCACTCTGTTTCAGGCTGGAGTGCAGTGGCACACTCACAGCCGCCACAGTCTCTACCAGCTGGGCTTAGGTGATCCTTCCATCTCAGCCTTCCAAGTAGCTGGAACTACCAACGCACCCCACCATACCCTGTTCACTTAAGTCCCTTTTTAGGGACCATTTTGTGGGGCTAGAGCTTTGTTTGTCACTGAATTCCTAGTACCTAGCATGAAGCCTGACTCCAAGAGAGGCTCCAGAAATAATTGTGGAATAAAGTAATGAATTTGCTGATTGCTTAATGGCCTGCCAGGAGTCCATCAGCCCTTCTCAGAACAATGGAAGAATATGCTGTGACTCTTCTTTCTGCTGTGCTGTATGCTGCCAGCTGCTCGAGTCTGAACCAGCCTTAATGGCTTCATTTCTCTTAGATGAGGCAAGTGCAGAGGGGCCCCGAAGCTAGTCTTTTGCCTGATCTACTTTTTCCACCTACCCTCTTCCCCTCAGCAAGTTTCTCAGTTCTTCCTCTGTCTTTTTGGAGAAGCATAGGAATGTGAGTGCCCCCTCGCTTCTTCGGGGAGCATACAAATGTTACTGCATCAGCTGAAAGTTAGGGTATTAATGCCCCAGCGTGTAGAAGGTGAGTTACTTTTCAGTGGACCAAGAGGGAGGCCGCGTGAGCTGTGTGTGCGTCAGAAGGCTACCGAGGACCGTGGCAGGGCTGAACAGAAAGCTTCCCTTTTACTTGCACTTGATTTGACCTGTGGATAAACAAAGAGTTTCTATTTCTAGAAATCCCATTGTCTTCACGGCTTTGAGTTTCTTTTGCAAACTTAAAAAGTTATGTCTTTATGCAGGGCACTTAAAGCTCTGTGGGCCCAGTCTTTTAACATTTTGTTGTTGTTTTTGCTCCTTTTCTACGGTCTTCTGACCCTTTTTGTGCTTATATGCCACAGGCTCTTAGCTTTCTGAAATTCAGCCTTTTCTTCAATAAGGCATGACATTTAAAACAGCTATAAGGTTGCAGCATGAGCAGAATGTTCACTATCATACAGAACATGATAAATACAACCTTTTCAGGAAAGGAAGGAGGAACAGATGATTATTGTTTCACATCCAACAGGTTATGTGCTGGGGCTTTGGAGAGTTGAAAAATACTATAAAATAAATAGGTTTTCTATCCCTGTCCTTAAAGAGATTTGGAATAGAGGGAGGAAAAATGATATTTACAGAATGCCTACTGTATGCCAGGCTACACATCTGTATGTCTATACCCATATCTATATTGATATCTATTTACAAAAATATTATGAGGTAATTGTTGTTTTCTCTGTTTTTACAAATGAAGAAACCGAGGATCAGAGAAGTTAGGTAACTTCTGAGATTCTCCTACTTAAACTAAGTTCTCCTAAAGATAGAATGATAATGTTACAGTTCAGATAAATTGAGCAAGTCTTGGGATTCTTTTATTTAAATGAAATTCTTCCAATGTCAGGATGATAATGTATAATACTAGAAAGACATGTATAAACAAAGAATCCCACAGGGCTTCTGAATATGCTGGAGAGTTTTGTAAAACCTGCCTTTCTCTTTTCTTCTGGAATGCCTTCCTATCCATTTGAACTTGGACTACGCATTATACTTACCAGGGGCTTCATTTCTTCACCATAAAATCGTCTTTGCCCATGTCACAAGTTTTGGGTAAGGGAGAAAATAGTACAATTTAGATTAAAGTGAAACACTGCAGCGCCGTAGAAGTATAAGATATTCTTGTCACAAATGGAGTACCGAATAAGAATGCCTGTGATGCATTTGGGGTGCATGTAATATACCTCTAATTTTTCAAAATGTCTACTTGTAATAAATTTAAGCAGAATGAAAAGAAATCAATTACAGAATGATCTGTGGTTCAGCCAAATTTTTAAGACAGTATTTCAAAACAGAGGGAATATGTGGGGAGAAATGTTAATACAAATTTATGGGACACTCACTAAATATAGTATTGGGGGTAGATCGTGGGAAGGTTATTCAATAACTAGAAGGCATGATTTCTGCCCTTGAGGGTTCAGAGCATACAAACAAATATATTTTCCCCTCCTGTTATCTGTCCTACACATCCAAGATACTGTACTGGAAAGAGTTCAGGTTTTGATAAAAATAAATTCATCATTTGAACATTAGAATTTATTTTTAATGCAACACAATTGCTTTAATCTAGAGAAATTTGATATATATATATATATATATTTTTTTTTTTTTTTTTTTTTTTTTAAAGACAAATTCTATGAATTAGTGACTGGTATCTTTGGCATATTTTATTTTGAGGAAAGTGGAAATTTGGATTCCCAAATATTGGCTTTCACATTTCAAACACTTTTTTTTAATGGTCTTTTTTTTTTTTTTTTTTTTTGAGGTATGTGGGCCAGTGTCTTTATATGGGAGACACTCAATAATTTTTGTGTCAAGTTGCGTGCTTTTGAGACTTTGCTTTGTTTCTCTCTAGTGGATGATACTGTGGTTGCTATTCCCTATGGAAGTAGACATATTCGCCTTGTCTTAAAAGGACCTGATCACTTGTGTAAGTAAATCCAGTTGTTTTCCTTAGGGGATTGGGATTTTAGTCATTGTTATTTATTCTTGGTTCCCAGAAGAGATTAAAACACAAGAATGCAGATCTTTCTACTCTATCATAATGACATTTTGAGGGCTTCTGTTTATCTTTTAGCTGCCTGGTGATGTATTTGGGGTGACAGAAACCTCTGTGGTAATTATCTCTAACCACAGTCATCCTGAAAAGTACAAAATAGATGCTTCCAACGGGTTGTTCATGGGTTAAACACATGTTTCTGCTTTTGTGAGTATTGTATCTCATCCTCTCTCCTCTTTCTTTCTAGTTTCAATGTTTTGTGTATGTGTGTTGCCTCTCTTTATTTCTTCTTCCTTCCAACCCTCCCTCCCTCTTCTTCATTTTTTCTTTTTTTCTTCCTACTGTTTTGTTTCATCACTTCATCAATCCGGAGGAGCATAGAAACAGCAACCAACCTTAACACTGTAGCATTTAAAGAAAACCGTTGTGGTATGATTAAGCATCCCATGCATTAAAGACAATCAAGACCCTCATATTGTAAAGATGGCTATTGGGAGTCAGGATTGAAGGGTAATCCTAACCCCAAAGATCAAATGGTAGTATGGACCCTCCAGGGTTTGTGCAAGAACTGATCTTCAGTCTTGCCAAAGCAACAAGACACCACCCCATCTTTTGTATTGCTATTTAGATACAAACTAGTAAATTACAAGCGGAAAATTATAGGTCATAAATCAAGAAAAGGGTGGGAAAGGATATGCTAGCATTTTCTGTAAAATTTTATTTCACTGAAAGGCTTCAGTTGATTCCTTGAGCATTTCTGATCTCCTCCACTCTGATTGTTCCTGGGTTCCCACAAAGCCATCTGTCGTCTTCTGTTCTTTCTCCTCTCCCACACACATGCCTGTGAATCCAACTTAGGTAGCAAGCATGATTTTCTGGCAATTGCATTAAGAGTGAAATCACGCTAGAAAGACAAATAAGAGGAAAGTCAAGTTGGAGCCTATAAAAGTCAAAATCGCCCTACTGTAGTCTTTCTAAAAATTAAATACATTTCGTGGAAGAGGTGGGATTTGAAGGGTCATGGGAAGTAAAGGAATAAGTAAGGTTCAGGCAAAACCAAAAAGTGCTGATAAGTTTTTTTCTACTCCTGAACAACCCCATAAAATATAGAGTTCACATGTCAAAAGTAAATAGATGTGTGTATGTGTGAGTGTGTGTGTGTGTGTGTGTGTGTGTGTGTGTGTGTACTATTACTGTTCCAATGATTCATTTTTCCATTTGAAAACTGGAGAGAGCTAACTGCTGGTATACCAATCCCACTCGAAAGCAGTGTTATTGTGAACAGTGACAGAGACTGAAACAGCAGTCAGGCTAAGATCATCACCAATTAGAGGACTGACTCCTCACTGCAAAAGAGAGAACCCGCAGTATAGATTTAAGAGGAAAAATTATTTTTATGAATGTATTAGCCTCCCAGATTTCTTAATTATGTGATCACTAAGAAGCTGGAAAATTGGCCTTCTTTGGTTAATTGTCCCAAAGATTTGGTGAAAGGCAAAGTGGAATCTGCTTTTTATTTTTTCCAACAAACATACTGTCGGTAGCATATATACAGCTGAAGAATTTTTTTAGTTTAGTTTAGTTTTGCTTTGTATTTGGAATATAATTCAGCAAAACAAATGTGGGAGTACATGATACCCTGTGTCTCCTACAACTCTTTTGCTCTTCACTCCCGGAAGTTGGTCCAGTATGAAACCAGCCTTCAATATTCAGAGCTAAATCAGAACAAGATTAGGAGATCTGGTCTGCCCCTGGCTCCCCTTTAATCAGAAATTCCTTGAAAAAAACAGCTGTCGATTGGCAGTAGTGGGAAACTGTCAGGGGAGGGGTGGGTGGGATTGGCAGTTGAGGGAAACTGCTAGGGGAGGGAGGGACATACCTCATCAACAAGGGTACCTGCATGATCAATGTTTATATACCTAACCCCGAATTGTACCCCACATCTTTATAATTAAAAAAAAATTTTTTTTAAGAAAAAAACAGCTGTGAGCATCTCAATACATTTGAATCAGATGGTCAGATCAGACCCAGAACTCCAAGATTATTCCAAAACTAAGTTATGTCCTGGAGCTATCTCTATGATTACACATAGGGTGGCCTGAGGAACAAAGGCTGGAGGAAGGAGACACAGTGCTGTTACTTTGCCTCGATGACAGCAACTGTGATTTCCCCACTACAGGATTCCCTTAATGTGCCCTGTATTCTTCTGCGGGGTCCTCTCTGCACTGAGGCAAGGGAGTGAAGCCTGGCCTACTCTAGAAGAAGAGCTCACAGACCATCTGAGAGTCAGTGGGCATTTCCTCAAACACCAACATTTCCCACCTGTTGGTATTCCTAGCCGTAGAGAACTAGAAGCAGACTACATTTAGAATAATATCATACAAATGCTTTAGGTACTTGATTACCTCCAGATACCTTAAATTTTTTTTAACCCAGAGTCCTACCCAGGGATTCCATCTTTCTGCTGAAGAATCGCTGCCAAAACCAAAAATTCTTTGCAAGTTTTGGAACCCATTCGCCTTAGTCTATCTACCTTTCTTCATGCAGCATACAGTTATTCTAAATCACCTCTCAATCCATGAGAACTTAGTATTCTCTGAAACTCACACCGTAATTATCATCATCCCGGCATGCTCTGATTTACTCTAACAGATGATGATTCATAGGCTTTGTCACTGACCACATTTGGATTTGAATGCTCCAGGAAATCAAGTTCTTTCTATCTTAAGCACTTATGAAATACTTTATACATGCATACACACACACACACACACACAAACTGGAATTAAGTATCAAAAAGCATTTTTAAAAATTTTTTTATTTTATAGATGTAGGGTACAATTCAAGGTTAGGTATACAAATGTTCATTACGCAGGCACCCTTATTGATGAGACGTGCCTCCCCTTCCACAGGCAGATTCCCACTACTGCTAATCCCACTTCCTCAAAAAGCATTTTAAAAAGATAGTATTAAAAAGGATAGCCCCTGTTCTTAATTCACTGTGGTTTCTTCCTTTTGAGCAATAGCACATAAGCAACATGCAACCAGAAAGCATAAACAAACACAAGTATATGCATAAATATAAAGTTACACAGGCAACTCAGAGACATACCCTGGATCTCACAGAGCAAAAAGAAAACTGAAGGGTATCACCTAGGCTGATGGTCATTAAAACTGAAATCAGTAAGATATGCATGTAAGGTTGTTCAGACAAAGGAATAAGACTGAGGTCAAATGGGATGTCCAAATGAAAACATCCAGAGAGTCAAAGACTTTTTGACAGGGAGCCTTAAATGCTTGACTAATACATTTTAAAATAATTTCATTTTCAGCGTAAACTCCGATGTGATGCAGTAGTGCTTATATGCTTTGTTTATATCATAATTTCAATTTTGTCAGCCACATAAACCATGATGTGTCTCCTTTACATGGCTCTAAACTTTGTTGCATGAAATGTGCTTGCATGCGGTCTGTGGTAGCTCTAGAACCATCTTTCTCTCCTCTTCATGTGTTTGATCATGTAGATCTGGAAACCAAAACCCTCCAGGGAGCTAAAGGTGAAAACAGTCTCAGCTCTGCAGGCACATTTCTTGTGGACAATTCTAGTGTGGACTTCCAGAAATTACCAGACAAGGAGATACTGAGAATGGCTGGACCACTCACAGCAGATTTCATTGTCAAGGTGAGCCCGTTTAGGTACCTTATTTTCAAGGCATATCCAAGCTGATGTTACTTATAATCTCCTGAGGAAAGAGAGGCTTTAGATTTTGACATATATTTGGAAAGTCTGTTTGTTATCCAGGAAATGTTTAATTCAAGGGTATTGAGCTAGCTACATCCTGAACTTGACAAGAACATATGATATTCCTAAGATCATAGGAAAATCTTTGTATATATTATTAACAAAATGACCCTATATAAGAAGTCAATATATCATAAGTTGGGGGATATAAACTGTTTTTAAAACAATTAGGATACGGTCGTTGACTCCTAGGGTATCCTCAGTAAAAGAGAAATATAAACTGCTGATCTGTAGACTTGGTCAACTAATCATACTTCCAATGGCAAGCTCTGTTTTCTCTTGTACTGGCAAGAAGACCAAGTTGTTTCCTTCTATCAGAACTTCCCTACTCTTCAAGGTAATATGAAACACATTGCTGGAAGCAACATGAACGTTCTGCTGGAGAAATGCACATGCTAGAAGAACATTTGGGAATCACAATAAAATGAAACATATTTTTTCCTTCAGTAGGTCAGGAGGACCTGAAGGATTTCAGCTGTAAAGCTGTAAAACTTGTCATGTGTCCAGGACTCCATAAATTTTTCATCATGGGACCTGGAGCCAGAGGACATTTGATTTAAGCTAAGGCTTGATGACCCCATGGCAGCTGAAAGTAAGAATGCATATAGGAAAATGTGATAGGTGGTGAGGTTGGAGGGAAGAAGGGTTCCAGAATACTGTCCTCTGTCTTCGTCTGCATGGTAGTTCTTTTTAATCCAGTCCAGATGCCAACCGCATAAATGTGCGCAAGAAGCTATACGCCATCAGAGGTAACTCACGAAGAAATGATGCTGTAGGTAGTTACATAATTTCCGCGAAGCAAGAAAACCCAGTAAAGAAGTGAAAGATGTCTTTATTCTTTGGAATCCTTAGAGTACTGTTAAATAGACCATATATACCACAGTAATTTCCCTAGTGGCCTTGCAGGAGTTAATACTCATGCTGAAAATACAGAATTGGATTCGAGTAATACTATTCACATCTGAATAGCTCACAGCATTGTCAAATGCATTTCATCTATCCTGTCTTCTGCCCATCACTGCCTGGACATCCCATAGACACAACATGTTCAGCATGCCAAAACTGAACTTGCCTTGTCCCAGAACCCTCCTTTCTTTGCTTGACTGTTTATCTGAGAAGCAAATACACTATCTACCCAGGCAAGTCAAAGACCTTGATTCACTCCAATTTTCCCTTTTCTATCTGCCCCCAGTCAGTTTGCCTCTTGGCCATCTGTCAGGATTGTTCTTCCTTCTCCATCCTTGCTGCCACTGTCTTCCTTTAGGCCTTTGTATTTTCCCACCTGAACAAATATCATGGACTCTGAATCCATTTTCCAGCCTCTGCTTCATTGTTGCTTTCAGAGTGAGTTTTCTGAAACCATAACTCTCCTTGTAATCCTGCCTAGCCCCTTTCCTCCACTCATTGCTTTGAGGTTAAAATGTAAATCCAAATCATCGCGTTCATTACTCTCGGTAAGTCGTCTTATGTCTACCTTTCCAACCTCACCCTTCCGTTTCAGCCAACTGAATGACTGGAAGGTTCCCCAACACCTTATACTCTCATAACTTGTTACCTTTGCAAAATGCTGTGCCTAGAAAGCGCTTGTCTTTTCCTTTTCCATCCATTTCACGGACTTTCACTTCTTCCTCAGGATTTTCTCCCTGAGTGTGAGACTCCACTCCCAAATTCCTGTTGACGTTACATTTCCCCCTGTGTGTTCCTCCAGGGAAGAGACTGAATTGTATATGTCTTCATATCGCCATAAGAAGAGACCAGAAAGCATAGCAAGTGCTAGATAAATAAAGAACTTTTATTGCACAACAATTGTTTAAGTAGAGCAGACACTGACATCTCTTTTATACACACAAGGAAACTTGCTTCAGGAAAGCGGAGTGACTTGCCTAAGTTCACACTGATGGTAAACCAGATATTAAAGTCACATGTCTTTATTTCTGGCCCAGAAATAGATTTCAGTATTTTGTGTTGCTTCTAGGGAAATATAGTAATATTGTTCTTCTAAGGTTTCATCAGAAAATATTGGGAATAAAATAAATGTAAAATGATTCTAGGATAGATTATGTAATTTTTTAAGTGAATTTACTCAAACTGGAAAATGAGTTGGTTAATTTAAGCAGATATAGAAAAAAAGAAGAAAATTATCTTTTTTCCCCTCAGTAATTCATAATTTTCTCCCCCAGTTTTCCCCAAGAAATAAAAGATTACCATTTGATTATTCATCACTTTCCGTGATTTAGGTGTTCAAAATTATGCATAGTATTAATTCAGATTTTAGAAGTGTTCAGAGTGTAGTCTTTTTTGCATTACATATATCTTTTGGGTTAATCAAATCCCCTTTATAGATTTAAAATGCAGTATATCCAAGTCTCAAAAGAATCTCACATTGATAAACTTCATTAGAAACACTGAAACCCTTCTTCACACTCAGCAAATAGTATCATCCTTGAAATGGTGGAACTACCCTGGGTGATCTGATGATACAAAACCTGGTGATTCAGAAAGAGGAGTAAACCAAACATATAGCAGGGAGCTGTCAGTGTAGAGCTTTGAGAGAGGCCATGAGTGTCTGAGCCTTTGCAGAGAGCTCGGCAACAGCTATTTGAAGGTTATAAAAAAAAAAAAAAAAAGGAATGACAGGATTGATTTTTGAGATGTGGCCATCTCCCTTTAAACTGTCTGATAGGAGGAATCGGTTATCTACTTTTATTTTTCAATTCATTAATTAATTTTTTAAGTTGACAAATAAAATATTTGTCATATACGACATGTTTATAAATATGTATACTTTGTACAAGAGCTAAATTGAGCTAATTAACTTTTGCATTACCTTACATATCTTTTTTGTGGTGAGAACACTTAAAATCTTTCTCTTAGCAATTTTCAAGAGTGCAATATATTATCAACTATAGTCATCATATTGTACAATAGATCTCTTGAACTTATTCCTCCGATCTAACTGAAATTTGCAATTTTCCACCACCATCTCCCTCCCCACCTGCCAAGCCCCTGGGAACCACCATTCTACTCTCTGGTTCTAAATTTTACCTGTAAGTGAGACCATGTAGTATTTATCTTTCTGTACCTGGCTTATTTTTTTTCTTTCTTTTTTTTTTTTTTTTTGAGTTGGAGTATCACTCTGTCGCCCAGACTGGAGTGCAGTGGCCGCTCCCGGCCACCGCAGCCTCGACCTGCTGGGCTCAGGCGATCCTTCGCCTCAGCCTTCCGAGTATCTGGAACTACAGGCGCGTGCTACCACACCTGGCTAATTTTTTTGATTTATTGTAGAGATGAGGTCTCGCCAAGTTGCCTGGGCAGGTCTCGAACCCACGGGTTCAGGCAATTCACTCACCTCGGCCTCCCAAGGCACAGGATTACAGGCTGAGCCACCAAGCCCGGTTCTGGCTTATTTCACTTGACATAATAATCTCCAGGTTCATCCATATTGTCGAAATTGATGGGATTTTCTTCTTTTTTTAAGGCTGACTAGCATCCTGTTGTGTGTGTTTGTTATATACGTGTGTATTTATATGTATATAAAATGTATGTGTATGTGTATAATATTTTCTTTATCCAGTCATCCACTGAAGAACATTTAGGTTGATTTCATATCTTGGCTATTTTGAATGATACTGCAGTGAGCCTGAGTGTGCAGATGTCTCTTTGACATGCTGATCTTGTTTCCTTTGGCTATATACCCAGGAGTAAGATTGCTGGATCATATGTGAGTTCTATTTTTAATTTTTTGAGAAATCTTCCTACTGTTTCCCATAATGGTTACACCAATTTAGATTCCCAACAACAGCATACAACGGTTCCCTTTTCTCTACATCCTTGTCAACACTTACCTTTTATCCTTTTGAGAAGAGCAATTCTAACAGATGTGAGGTAATATATCATTGTGGTTTTGATTGCATTTCCCTGATGATCAGTGACATTGAACATTTTTTCATGTACCCATTGGCCATTTGTATGTCTTCTGTTAAAGATGTAGGGTACAAGTCAGGATTAGGTATACAAGTGGACATCATACAGGCAAAGTTTGGGCTTCCCTTTGGTCCCCACTTTGCCTGGTTTGAGACCAGGTGCCCTTGGATATTGTGTCCCCACTTCCACCCCAGCAGTATCCTGCGACTGCCAATCCCTTTCTTATAGTATTATGGTAAATATTCAGGGTCCGTTTATGAGTGAGAATATATGGCACTCTTTTCTTTGTCTCTGTGATAGATTACTGAGTATGATAGACTCTAAATTCATCCAAGTTGCTGCAAAGTCCATATGTTTGTCCTTCTTTATGGCTGCATAATATTCTATCATGTGTATGTACCACATTTTATCCAGTCCAGTTGCAATAGTCAGCATGATTGGTTCCATGTTTTTGCTATTGTGAATACTGTTGCAATAAACATGCGTGTGCAGGTATCTTTTTTGTAGAATGATTTGAGTTCCTCTGGGTATATTCCCAATAGGGGGATTGCTGGGTCATATGGAAGATCAATTTCTAGTTTTTTAGAAATCGCCACACTGTTTTCCATAGAGGTTGAACTAGTTTGCATTGCCACCAGCAGTATAGAAGCATTCCCTTTTCTCTGCATCTTCACCAGCATCTGTTGTTTTTTGTATTATTACTGATGGCCATTCTTCTTGGAGTTAGGTCATATCTCAGTGTGGTTTTGATTTGCATTTCTCTGATGATTAGTGAGGCTGAGTACTTTTTCATGTGTCTGTTGGCTGTCTGTATATCTTCTCTTGAGAAGTATCTATTCATGTCTTTTGCCCACTTTTTAATGGGACTGTTTGTTTTTTTTCTTTTTGGCACATTTGAGTTCCTTGTAGATCCTAGATGTTAGGCCTTTGTCAGATATACTGTTGGCAATATTTTT